ATAACCAAGGGTTGTAAATGTATTTCAAACAACTGGAGGCTGAAGAGTAAGCAGTTCGTATCCATGGATTTGTTTGTGAACAGACTTCAATGCAACCATTGTCCGTGGATTACAATTCAGAGGTCATGTTTTTTTATTAATTATGTTCTGGAAACCATAAATAATGTATTCATTTTAAAGAATTACATTAATTGACCAAATCCATGTAAACCTCTAGAAGTTTCCTCCAAGTGACTAGCAAGCAACATTCCTTTGAAGTTCATTCATATTTTTCAGGATGATTTTCAACAATATCTTCTTGACACCAGAAGATGAAAAATGCATGTCTAGAATCCGCAATTTAGGTAACCAAAGAAATCACAGAAGTCTTAAGGAAAAGTATAAATCTCACTCCTAGTTTAGCTCACTATGGTTTTCACTGAAAAGAAGCCATGCCACCGAGATTCACTTGCCCTTCCCCAAAACATGAGGTTTACTGTCACACTTACATTGTAAAATATAATAAGAGAATTAAACAGACAGCTATGGATAACAAAATGGGAATACTAAACTTTTCACAAGAACAGGCAGCAACGCATGTAGAAAGCATACTGGTCTGCCTAATAAAAGTATGTGGCGTTTTTCCCCTCTTCCACCAGCTCCCACCACCAGTTTCAATTACTCTTAGCATGATTCTTTCAATATTTAGCTTCCATCATCTGTCCACTAAAGAAGTCTTAATTCACACACATTTACTTTCTCTTACTACTGACAGGCTGCTGAGAACTTCTCAAGAAAGTCTACAGGCTCCGCATACTTCCTCTACCTCTCCACTTATTTTTTCCAGTTCCATTTCAAAATCGAGCTTTGGTTTAAAGATCTCATTTGGCATACCCATGGAACAGGATTAGGTGATATTATTGCATCTATTAGTAGGGGATCAGACCTGATAAACCAGAACATCCTCTTCTCTCTCAAGCTCTAATTCAACCTTTACCTTTATCAGCCTGTCCTAAATTGTCTCTTCCACAGTGAACAAAGAGAAGCTCTAATTATTGTTCATGAACAGTCTACTCTATTACTACTACTATGGTTCTCATGCTATGTTTTTTTACTAAAACATATCCCATTCAGCCTTCTCTTCGTGACACCCATGTCATTCTGTTCCTTTGTTCACTCCCTCTTTTCATTCATCCTCAAACATTCTTTCTTGCCTAGTCCTATCCATTAATTTGTAAACACTCTAATAAAACACCTTCCTGCTTCCTCAGTTTTATTTCTCTCTGGATTCTTCCTAATTAGTTCTTTAACCTACTGAAGTTATCAATACCACAGACATGTCAAAGAATTTCTGGATCCATGTTTCTTACCTCTCCTGCTAGTGTTGTATTCTCCTCAGATGACACTCCCAAACCCAACTTCTTCCTGTACTATTTTTCATCCTTGACCTCAACAGTTCAAGCTGGAACATAGGAGGTTCCGCTTGAGTATGAGGAAAAACTTCTTTACAGTGAGGGTGACAGAGCACTGGAACAGGCTGCCCAGAGAGGTTGTGGAGTCTCCTTCTCTGGAGACATTCAAAGCCCGCCTGGATGCGTTCTTGTGTGATCTGATCTAGGTGTCCTGCTCCGGCAGGGGGATTGGACTAGATGATCTTTCGAGGTCCCTTCCAATCTCTAACATTCTGTGATTCTGTGATTCTGTGATATCATGTTTCTGAAAATAATTTTGAATTCTTCTATCAGTCTGAAATTCTCACCTCTTTTCAGCTTCAGAGCTCTGACTCCCTGTGGAGGAATAATCCCTCAGGAAAAAAATCAGCATGGTGAAAACTGAATATACTATAATTTATTCATCCAGTTTTAAACTCAAAAGTCTCTGCAGTCAATTCCACTGTTCCTAACTTATGTTACATTAAAATCCGATGTCTTAGAACTTAATGTCGAAGAAGCTGCCAAATTCTATCAGTTCTTACGTCAGTGTTTCCAGAATACATTGTTTTCCCCTAAAACTTGTCATGCAGCTTTCCATACCTACCTCATATTTAATGCAAGGACTATTCTAGTGCATCCTTGTCTACCTACTTTACTTACTGGCTCACTACTCTTTAGTTAATTCAAAAAAATGTATGTTTTCTCTTCTCTGCCTCTTAGAACTCAGAGCTGCTGCTTCTCATTCAAATTTCCATCACTGGATTTTATTTTCCTTTCCGTCTACTTCCTGACTCTTCCCCTTAAGTCTACATGCTACTTCCATATTTGTTTATTTCTGAACTCATATTTTCTAATTCTCATCTTGGTGCTTTCTTTCAGTTTGCTCACTGTCCTAGAAGCTTGTAAAGTCACCCTATAGCCTCTAATCAAATCCCCACTTAAACAACCTCCTTATTTTGAGCTAATTTAAATATACTAAATTAAAATGACAATGAGTATATGGTATCACCTGTAAGTCTAGAAGAAATGCCATTCTCCAAAAATTGCGTTTCTGTGTAGAAAAACTATCCACCTGTCTTCCAGTCATGATTCTTCTACATTTCATAATTATTTTTAATACCACTCTTACTGATTAAAAAGCCTTAAATATCTGAGTTATAACAGTGTGATAAAGTGTTTCTTTGTAAATTGTATATTTCCTGATTCACAGATATAAACTTTGTTTACAATTAAGCACACCTCATTTTTTCTTTATTGATCTACACATGAGCCTATAACTTTCTGTCCACATGCGTAAACTCCAACTTTATCTACTGCATCATTTTAGCATCCTAGTGAGAAAAAACCTAAAGAAATGCAGTTCAAGAAATAGTTCAATTTCTAGAGAAAGTAAAAAAAAGGCTTTCAGACAAGGCTCCAGTTTCAGTTGCAGGAATTCTGTTAAAAGGTCTAAGAACTAATACTGATGTTTGTAGAACATAAACAGTACAACCCCATTATTTTAGGCTATGGTTTCTTAAGTTGGATTCCACTTTGTTTCCTCTAAAAATAATAATCAAATGGCATTTTCCCACATTACCTGTATATCTGACATGCCAAATTGAGATAATGAAAAAAGATACCACTTGTAAAACACAGGGAAGTTTCTCATAAAAATGTCCAGGCGGTATCAGTTCACTCATGCCAGTTATAGCCCATTTTTGCTACAGGATCAAAACAAGAAATCTCACTTTAAATGACAACCTATAAAAATTGACTAACCTTTCAGTATTGAAGTTGGAATGAGACAATTCAAAAATCCCATGAGTCTGAGCTGAAATTAGTTGTTGGATTTAAACAGCTGGAGGGGGGAAGGGAGACATATCTGAAGGAACTATGTTTGAGAGAAGCAGGACTCCCTTTAGAAGAGAAACAGAGAACCGTTAGTAAAAGGAAGTAGGATAAATAATGCAAGAAGAACAATGTCTATAAAAGGAAAAAGGGATAAAAAGAGAGAAAAATGGGTTGAGAGCAGTAATAAGTCTTAATAGAAAGAGGAACAGAAAAGGCAAAGGAAAGCAGAGGAGTGGAACTAGTGATGCTCCAAGACTTCATGTAGAGTCTTACCTCTAAAACTGTAATTATTTGCCTCTGATTAAAGTGTAAAACACTGTGAGAGATATGTTATTACAGAATAAACTGACATGGGGGGTTTGGGAGTCTCATATAAGGCTGGGATAAAGTCACTCAAACTAGTAACAGGTTAAGAGTTCCGACCACGGCTATGTTGACAAGGGTACATTCTCTAAAACCTGCAATTGGACAGGACACAGTGATAACTCAAAACACAAAGGATGGTAGGTAGTGGTACTGGTATTTTAGTCAGCATTGCATGTACGCATATCTCATGGAATGAATCTACCAATATTAATGTCATTTCAAATTTATAACTGCAGGGTCATTCAGCTTCTCAAGACCAGGCAGACATCAAGCACTGTTCCAAGCGCTAAATCAAGCATAGCTTCAGGCTCAAAATAGATGACCCCTGTTTGGAAGCACTTATAAGAAAAAAAGGATTTATTTTCTAAAAACTAGATGCAAGCACTAGTTCTAGGGGTGGTGCTACCTTCCTGCTAAAGCATGAGGCTAAGATCCAAAATACACAAAGTCACTAAAGTGAAAGTTAGGAAAAGTTTATGGTGACTGGGGTCAGAGCAAAATGACAATGAACCAACATCTCTCTGTGGAAAAGATGTAGAGTTATTGTGGGAAATAGTGGATTCAGCAAGTTGCATTTGAGCTCAGAGAGCAACTGTATTATCACTACATTTATTTAGAGTACTTAAACATTTCTAGGACAACTTACCTCTAGAAATGCTCCCTCACTATGGAGTGTGAACTACAAGGTAGAATATAAATGTATACCTTATGCAAACAGAAATTGTAATCATGCGTCCTAAAAAAAGGCTGGTCATCTCACTATCATTGCCTCACTGAAACACATGAATCTTTCTTGCATAATTTCCTCTGAAGATAACAGGGATTCTTGATCCTTACTTCAACACCGGATTTGGTTCAATGGCTCATTTCATTTTCTTATAAAACACTATCATCATCTAGTGGTATATTTCGCTACCATGTAAACTGCATGTTACGAAGATGAAAGCATTTCATTTACTTAGCATTAAACACTTTAGAATAAGACATAGATTTATCACCTTGCAGTTATGCCAAGCTATGTGGGGGTGGGGATGCAAAATTAAGTAACATGAAATAAACTTGACAGAACTGTTGAGGATTTTGAGAACAAACAACATGCCGATATTTTACATGATGGAAACTTGAATAATTTTCTGTCCAAAAGTGAAGACAGACTAAATAAAAAAAACACAGCTTGGGAGTGCTTCATATCCTCATTCATACTATCCATAAAGTATAAAGGGTCAAGTGCGAATACTCTTGAAATAAAACCTCATAGGTTTTTCAAACAAAAATATTTTTCACTGTGATTTTTTAATAATCGGTGGGGAGGGGAAATCCCATTTACAAAAGTCCATTATTTATTATGGACATACAACCAAAATCTACAGAAATAAGTTGTTGACTTACGTGGTAACTTTTCAGTCTAACAAAATCAACTTTCATGGAGATGAACCTTTCTGAATTTCTGCTGAGATTTTTAATGTGCTCCACAAGGTCAGCACAGAACTTGTAGCCACCTTTGAGGACACAGAGAACCACAATATCATTGTCTCCAATGTCTTGCATAATATCTTTGGCCAATTGTTCTGTCCTAGGGCAAAAAAAATTAAGGATAAAATAACATTAGATGCAGATTCTCTCGAGCTCATGGTATGCTTTCCATGTGGTTACAAAGAAACACTACGGTGAGTATATAGCCCGACTGACAGTCTGTTTAAGTGTCTTGACTTGACTGGGTTTGGATCAAGTTCACAGCGGGCAGATATACAGTGATGGATGCAAGAAGCAAAGCATGTGAATCAAACTGGTCAAATTTAAACGTGTGAATTCCCCAGTTAGAGAAAAGGGAGTAACACATCTCAGGATATGTTGAATTTATAAGCGTTTCAGAGACTCTGGAGTAAGGAATGCAATTTAGCCTTCAATTTTACCTCACAAGAAACATCAATATAAAATATTCCTGTACAATCCCCTAACTTGTTATGTTAGTTACTACCCAAGAACAATAAATTCAGTGAAAGATAGGGAAGAGAATTATTAGAAATATTTCACACTGATAGGCTTTGGAAGATGCTACCCCTACAGTTTTAATAAAAATATACACAAATAATATAAAGAAATATAGCATCAATCAAAATTTTATAAAGAGTGTACATTATAACTATTTCACACAGCAAAAAATAAGAGTTCAAAGAGCTTAAGTGACTTGTTCAAGGTCACACACACAAGAATAATCAAGGTTATGCTCCAATATCTGTCTTTTCTTTGACAATTGTGCGTTGCAAATGGCAGATGGCTGAAGCCAAAAGATACACATTTCTGCCATACAATAGTACAGAAATTTTCAAGATAAAACTAATAAAAATGAATGCTTATCTTAAGCAGCTTTGCTTTCTGAAGAACAACATAGGTGGCATTTCTAGACCTACAACAGGGTACTAGCTCATTTCTAGATTTAAAGCAGGTATCAACAGAAAACTGAACAATGTTATTCAATGTTTTGAGAAAAAACAGCTCAGTGCATTATTTTCTGTAAACACTTTCACGGGGAAGTTCTTTGACAGCTCTCTGAATTAGATCAGTAGTTTCAATGACAGTAACAGGATGCAATTTATTAAATAATCCTTTACTTCATCCCATGTCTTTCATGATTACATTTTTCGTTTTTTTTTCTCCACCCACTGTAATATGGGAGTCCATTTGCCTCTACATAAATACAATGAACTTTATTGAAATCTACACGTGTGTATGTACCAGAGAAGAATAAAGTCTAAATTGAAGATAATATGCCAGTTATGAGCAAAAGCTGTCTCTTCATTTTCACACCTTTGTATTTGTAATGCTCAAGTAAATTCCATTTAGCAGGAATTAGTATTTTTAAGATTTGAAAAATATAAGATATCATTAGATCATCTTGTTTGACCTGAAACATGTAATTCCTTTTACTGAGGTAAGAATGAAGATTAGTAAAAGACTTTAACTTACATTACTGAAGATTAGTAAAATAGTCTTTTATCATGTTTTATTAAGTCCGAGCATAACAGTGAAAACCTCTCATTAAGAAGAAACATTTCTCTGGTGATTTTCATTTTTTTATATTCTTCTTCAGATTGTTTGAGGAGCTGAAATTTCCAAAAATTACAAAGACCACTTTGTATTTTAAAGGAGTATGAACTCCAGCATAGTACTAATTTCAATTTCTAAACGAAAACATACAATTTTTAAACTTATATTTAATTGCTACCCACTGACAAGAGAATTTTCTCAAGTGCTGAGCCTTCTTCCTACATAAAGATTTCGCCATGATCACAAAATATTCAGTTCTGCATCCTTTTCCATTAGAACAGAATCAGTCTTTTCTGCTGGAGTAAGAAAAACCAGTGGAGTGCATTCTGCTGGAGTTCAATGCTTACTTCAAGCAAATTTATATCGAGTTCTATGAGAATGGAAGTTGTAACATATTAATTTTAAAAAGATAAATTAAAAGTCAGTTGACCCTAACAGATGAAAAATTCAACATAATGGTAACTGAAAAGGCAATGAAAGAAAGCTTGCGTTTAAAGACAAATATAGGAGTCAACGCTTCCTTATGATGGACGTTTACAATCTTCTTTCAAGGAGTTCCAACAATTTCAGTACTTGCAACTGTCTGTTTAAAGAAAGCTGCAGGCTGAAAATGTCCCATGAAATTCCATTCAGATATTCCCAATAAATACACTGTTGAAAATTACCATTTCAAATAATAAGTGAGCATGAACACTCAGCTGGACTACCACAAATATCAAAGCCTACACTGAGAGCACATGGGAACTACTACAAAGTAAGGAATGAGGGATGATCGAGCTTTCCTACAGCCACCCTCCAAGACCCAAACAGTTCATGATGCGCTTTTTGGTTGCACTGAATGGCAGAAGTCAACAGTGCAGTCGGGAACCATTAGGTTTATCATCATTAACGATTTGTACCAGGGAGTTGTCAAGGCTGTACATAACTGAATGTATTTTTTTCTCCTTTTTATAGTAAATACACACGATGGTTACAGCACAAGTAGGACATTCAAGTGTAACTATACACAAAGCTTTGTACTTGACCTTTCACCTTCAGTTCAGCTCTCCTGTAATTTACACTCCAATGTCAATTTCACTACATGATCACACTCTCCTTTTTGTGGGACCCCTGTCTCATTCAATGCCCAAATCAGAAATTAGGTGAAAGAAATTAGGGAGCCGCCAAGGCAACTGCAAGTCTAGCATTTCCTAACCTTTAAGCATTTTTTTACTTTCCAAAATAAAGAAATAAAAGTAGTTCTATAATTGCTAATACAATATTTTAGGACAAATGTTATATACACACTGTCTGTGGATGACAGGCTTTATAAAAAATAATAAAACTACTGACACATACCTGTCAACAATAATGCCGTGAGGTATGAGCACATATTCCAGATCTCCGTAGTAGTGCTGAGGATATGTGAACAAATCCAGACTGTATCCAGGCCAGTTGTCTGAAATCTGAATATCAAATAGTACAGTTAAGAACACTTCACGGTGCTTGACAATATGTAACTGATATAAAATCAGTGTTCTAGTACACTCTATTGGCTGAATTAATCGTATGACACACACTCTTACAGTTATAATTTGCTATTTCACTTTTCCTATTAATTATTTTGCTTCTCAGTAAATCTCAGAAATCAAATGCTACAGTTTTTTCCCCATAGAACGCACAAAATTTGACCTGAAATTACAAACAACTAGATAGAAAGAGGAAATATTTAATACAAAACTAGTGGCAAGTCTAAGTTTCTTACTACTTTCAAACTCAAAATGCAAATGTAAGACTACCAGTAAGAAAGGATTCTCCAATGAGTGATTCAGGCAGTGGCATTAAAAGTCATAAAATCATATATTAAAATCATGCATTTCTGGTTTAGAGGTATTTTAAAGTCATGCATAAATAAATAAATAGTCTACAGATGAAACAGCACATAAGGAGAATAAATTATATGGTTCATGGATGGTATCTGTACAAATCAGTGGAAGACTGTACTGCTTGCTAAAGATGAGGTTCTTAATTTAGATAAGTCATCAAAGATGCTTGCATCTCACCTCACTATCAGCTAGTCTGTAAATCCACACATTTACAGAAAAAAAAATTTACAGATTTAATATATATTAGTTTCATAAGTATCTGAATACAACAATTAGGAGATCCCACTGCATACAAGGGCAGGAGAGATTAAGTAGGGCAAAAATCAGCCAACAGGCAAAGGCTTCAGAAAGCTACAAAGATGCAAAGTCCTCAGCACAAGAGCCAAGCAAATTCCAAACCAACAATTTCCACAATTCCTTATGAAAGACAAGACCTGCAGGTTCACAAGGTATCTTGGCATCATTACAAGGCTTTGCTTCAGTACTGGTTCAGGATAAAAAACAACACCTAATAGGTTTTCTTTAAAATCATGTTCCTCAAGTCATATATTGTCTTTCTTCTTTCTACAGCTTGGATACATGAACCTTGGTGAGAAACTTGCCTTTGTGAAGTGCATATCTTAATGGCATTTCTGCTAAATATAGCCTTTGAAGGACCATCTCTGAAACTACTAACCTCTGCTTATGATTTCATGTAGTAGAGCAATAAACCATATCTCAAAAATATGTAGGCTAACACAACATATTTGATGTTGAGCGGTTCTTACACATCTAGTCTTCTTGAACTTACACATAGCCCCGCTTAATGCTGTACTGAAACTGTTCAGCCTCATGGATTTTTGTTTGATTGGAACTTTTTTGCATATTAATTGACAGCTACAGACACCTCGACTGTTGTCTTTTCTTAACTCTGCTGAACAGCTTCTGTATCAAAAAAAAAAGTTGTTGCCCATAGAGAGCATCACTCAGAGATCACTGTAATCAATGAAAGATTTTTCACCGACTTACACAAGCCTTGAAACTACACAAAACAAAAAAGTTACTTAGTTATGTTCCTCATTTCCATGGAAACAGGAGATTATAAATATCCTCCTTAGCAAGGTTTTTAATTAGGCACAAATCTTGCTCCAAAAACGCCTATTTTCCCATCTTCATTTTCAGTACATAGGGGTGGCTGACACTTTTTAAACATTTTGTAGCAATGAACTGTCTGGTATGGTTTTGTTCAAAGGCGTTTTAACATAAAATGAAACAATTTCATATAGTGCTTTAAATTGAGGAAGTACTATGAACACCCACTGAGCACCCCTGTCAGCATTGCTTACTTACGCATTCCCGTCAAATTGCACAGTTTTAGTGTGATGCAGAAGATCAAACTAAATGGATGAAAATGGCTTCAGAATTCATACAAACCAATAGCTTTTACTTAGGTTACAGTAAGTCCTTTATGAAACAGGATCAGGATGAAATTTTGATTCTCCTATATATCTTCTGGTTCTCTTGAATAAAAGAACATGAACTGCATCACTTTACAATAATATAGAAGTTCTCATTTACAGGTGTTCACTGGCATTTGACAAATAAGACTAAATTCACACGTACTTTCTAATAAGCTATTTTTCTAATATAAGAAGACGATTCCATATTCTTCTTTCTTTTAAACAAGCACTTCCCAAACATAAGGCTTAGAAATTCTAATTTACCCTAAAACTAATCACAGTGTTAAGCTATAGGACAATTTTCAAGTAACTGTAAATTTTTATGAGTACTCTGCCTGTGAATTTATTAAAAAAAAAAAAAGAAGTGTGATTATCTTCAGTTTAATAGCTAAGCATCAAAAAATATCTTCCCCAATCAAACTATTTACTTCTGGCTTTAGCCCTTGAAAATATGAAGGAAACATTTGTGATTGTTTCAATAAAAAGACAGTATTCAACTGGATAAATAAATATATACTCTACATATATTGGTACACAAGTGTGTAAAAAAAGTCCTACTATGAAAGAAAGAGCTATTTTTAAAGTTCAGGTTTGGCATGTTCAAGCATCCCAGCAGAAATTCTTCAGCAGGTCTTTAAAAAGTTGATGTGAATGTACACAAAAAGGAATACAAATACATAGCAATACCCCAAAAGTGTTCCTCTGAGGTGTAAAGAGAAGCTGGAGACATTCTACTGCAACAGCTATGGAAGAACATTTTTAGTTTTGTTGTCTGGCAAAGTGTGTACCCATGAGGTTCCAGCACAGTACTCCCTTTAAAGCAAAAACGATCTGGATTCTCCTTTGGTATAAAATAAGGGAGTAAACATCAAGAAAAGTCCAGCCTTCGAAAATTTAAATCATACCGCACTGGGCTTACTTTTGGTTGGGTTTTTGGGGAGGCTGGTGTGCGTACCAAGCAAAAGAAATGAAGTCAGTACAGCAGAATATGGTTATGAGCATTCACCTCCTTTGCAACATCCTCACATTGCTTTGGTGCATTAAAAAATGTAATTTAAAATGTAATTTATTACACAGGTGTCAGGGGAGGTGGTTGATGCATAGTGGCTTCAGAGACACCTTGATGGGCTCCTTTGGAAGAGGGATAGAGGGGATGCTGCTGTGGACAGGGTGTAACCGCTGCCTACGCAGAGCCCTCAGCTCCCGGTCGGGATCTGGGCAGCTGTTCTGCAACTCGGTAAAAATCCTAACGCTACAATAAAACAAGAACAAGTAAGGCGGTGGCAGTGATAACCCACCGGCATGGTATTTGTTTCACAGAAAAATCTGGTTTGTCCCTCAGAACAATGAGCATATTCATTTACTTTTGCATAATTTCCCCAGCCCCATAAGTAGTCGGAAGGCGCTGCCAAAGCACAGGGGATTTCCCACCACTGACGAACAGAGAAGCCCAAGAGCGTGTTTTTACAGGGCTCTCGTATCTTCAAAGGCTTCTAAGCAT